GTTTGGTATTCTTTAGTACCAAACAAGTCCGAAATATTTGACGTTAATGGCAATACAGTTTTTGCCATTGGATCAATCACATTAGAACTAAAGATTGGGTTTGGAAATTTTCAGTCAAAATTTTATGATATGTAATATTAATCAGGATGGAATACTTGGACAGGATTTCTTACTTAAGGAAGTAAGTAAAGTTAATTATCAGCGAATGGTCTTACACACGATCCACAACCAGGAAATACCATGTTGGATTGGAGGGAAGGCAAATATGATTTGCAGAGTAGAAATTAAAGACAACATGACAATTCCTCCGATGACAAGTACTATGATGCCTGTAGAAATACCGGGAGTCAATCATTTAACAGAATACGGATTAATAGAGGGCACGACAGGAACAGCAAAGTCTACATTAACAATACATGGGATTATAAATACACAAGATCAAGCACACTTTGTAAATGTTGTTAACTATGGTGACAACGAAGTAAAACTGTATAAAAAGGAAACAATAGGAACATGTGAATCATATACTGAGCATGATTTGAAATCAGAGCAGATTAGAACACTACAAAAAGATTGCTTTACAGCTAGTGAAGAATTACCAGAACATCTTATTGACTTATTAAAAAGGAGTTCAACTTATTTAAATGAGGACCAAAGACAACAGCTTTCCAGACTCCTTTCGCAGTACCAAAATGTCTTTTCACGGACAGATGATGACATAAGGAGGACAGACCTTGTAACACATAGAATAAATACAGGAAATGCAATACCCTTTAAGCAAGGATCTAGACGTATGCCACTTGGAAAGCAAGAGATGGAAAAATCAGAAGTCAACCTGATGTTGGACAAGGGAATCATTGAACCATCTTCTAGTCCTTGGGCATCAAATATTGTCCTTGTAATGAAGAAAAATGGCAGCCCTAGGTGCTGTGTTGATTACAGAATTTTGAATGACGTCACTAAAAAGGATTCCTACCCGATTCCGAGGATAGACGAGTGCGTAGACTCGCTCGCTGGGGGAAATTCTTCGGGTCAATGGACCTAAATTCAGGATTTTGGCAAATTGGCATGGCTTCCGACGACAAGGAAAAGACCGCATTTCTGACAAGTTTAGGGTTATATCAATTCACTGTCATGCCCTTTGGACTTGCAAATTCACCATCTACTTTTGAGCGTCTAATGGAAAATGTTCTCAGAGGGCTACAGTGGAAAGAACTATTACTCTATATGGACGATATAATATCAGTAAGTTCAACATTTGAAGAGGGTCTTGGAAGGTTAGAAAGAATCTTTATACGCCTACAAAATGCACATCTAAAATTGAAACCTGCCAAATGCATTTTCTTTCAAAAACAAGTCAGGTTCCTTGGACATATCGTGTCTGAGGAAGGAATTTCCACTGATCTAGAGAAAACAAAAGCAATAGATGACTGGCCAGTCCCCGAATCTGCAAAACAGGTGCGCAGCTTTTTAGGACTTTGCTCTTACTATAGGCGATTTGTTTAGGGATTTGCAGCAATTGCAAGACCAATGCACAAAATTTGCGAAAAGAATAGCCGTTTTGCTTGGAATGATGAGTGTCAAAAGGCATTTGAACAGTTGAAAAATGCTTTAACAAGTACACCTGTGCTTGCCTACCCTCTTCCAAATTTGCCATTCATACTTGACACAGATGCAAGTGATAAGGCTGTCGGGGCAGTTTTGTCACAAATTCAAGAAAGTCTTGAACGAATTATTGCATACATGAGCAAATCTATGAACATACATGAGCAGACATACTGTGTAACTCGAAAAGAGCTACTTGCTGTAATTATAGCACTAAAGGCATTTCATCATTATCTATATGGCCAGGAAGTTTTGCTGCGCACAGATAACGCAGCTGTATCATGGATGAAAAATCTAAAGAAACCCACTGTTCAAACAGCCATATGGCTCGAAGAACTGGGAACTTCCAATTTGACAGTGACAAACAGGGTTGGAAGGAAACACTCAAATGCCGATGCTCTGTCCAGAAGACCTTGTAAATCATGCGAGAAACAAGAATCTGGAAACCACACAAGTGACGATGAAACAGACGAAATTCAACTTGAAGAATCTGATTTTGTTAACCAGGAGTTACATGAAAATGAGGAGCCAACACCAAGAATAAAAATAGTACGAGTATGTACAAGAAGTCAGACAGGAAATCAGTCTAGTGCTACACCAAGTGGCTATTGCATAGAAGGATGGGACCCTGACAGTATTAGACAATGCCAATTGGAAGACCCAGACATGTCACTCATTGTGACATCTTCTTGAAAAGAAAAATAAACCTGACTGGGACCAAGTATCAAAAGGAACATCATACCAGAAAATAATATGGCGACAATGGGATAGGCTGACAATAAACAATGGCATGCTTTATAGAAAATTTTATTGTTCTGATAAAGACGATGTAGACGACTTCAAATTGCAGCTCCTGGTACAAAATCACACCAAAAGACAGTCTTTAAGTATTTCCATGACGTTCCATCTGCAGGTTATTTAGGACCAGATAAAATGCTAAGTAGGATCCAGCAGCTCTTTTACTGGCCAGCTATGAGAAGCTCAATAACAAGGTACTGCAAAGAATGTGACCAATGTGCTGCTAGGAAATCACTTAAACGAAACAAGGCTCCATTAAGTCAATACTTGGTTGGCGAGCCTATGGAACGTGTTGCGATTGATATTCTTGGTCCACTTGCGTTAACAAAAAGACAAAACCGTTATGTTCTTGTCCTTTGTGACTGCTTTTCTAAATGGACTGAAGCATATGCTATTCCAGACCAGGAATCCCTGACCATTGCCCGTACCATCGTGAATGAATTTATTTGTAGGTTTGGTTCACCTATACAGCTCCACTCTGATCAAGGAAGGTCTTTTGAAGCAAAGCTGTTCCAAGATCTGTGTGATCTCCTGAAAATTGACATAACTAGAAGTACAAGTCAACACCCCCAACCTAATGGAAGCGTGAAAAGATTTAACAGAATACTGCTAAGCATGCTAACATTTTATTGTCAAAATGATCAGAGAAATTGGGATGAGATTTTGCCACAGGTTTTGATGGCATACAGATCATCCGTTCACGCCAGCACAGGACAGACCCCTAACATGATGATGTTTGGCAGAAACATATTTCATCCTATGGAAGCTGTTATTCCACGTCCTGATGGACCAGATGAATCCACTGCCCCTGAAACGGATAAATATATAAATGAATTACAGGACGCTATGTCAAAGTCACATGTACTGGCTAGGAAACATCTTAAGCAGAATTCTGAGTATCAAAAACGTCACTATGACTTGAAAGCAGTAAAGCGCGAATTACAAATAGGTCAAGCTGTATGGCTTTATGGTGCATCAAAGAGAAAAGGAATTTGTCATTAGTTGACATCAAAATGGAAAGGACCATATGTTGTCACAAGAAAAATTAATGACATCACTTACCTTGTGAAAAGGTCAAAGAAACAGCCAGGGAAGGTCTACCACATCGATAGACTACTGCCCTATCAAGGACGAAATCCGCCCACTTGGTTCTCCAGTAGGAAGGCTTGAGATGCCTTTCATCGTTGTTGTTTGAATAGCCGAAATTAGTTGTACAAGTTGTTATGTTTTTAATTGTTTTGATGAGTTTCTACGTTTAAGAGTAACTGTATGACTTATCTCAGACTGGAGAAAGTCATGTTGGAATTCCTAGAATTGGATCCACTCTGGAAGAATATGTAAGAGAGACAAATGGCCATTGTTTCTCAGGACATATTATTGGCTGTAAGGGAAGGATGATCCTTCCTGCCAGGGGAATGGCAGATTAAACTGTACTGCCAAGCATTTTTTTTTGTATGCGCAAGCCGCGCGCCGGAAAGCAATTAAAAACAACTTTTTGTCTTGAGGAGGCTTGAGATTTTTTTGGAATAGGGAGACCAAGGGGGTGGATATCATATTTTTATTGAAATGTAGGCTGATCCATCTACTACCAGCATATGCCATATGGGGGGAGGATTTTAAACACATAAGCAAATATAGTCACACAACAGCACACTACATACATATCTTTTATTGTATATGCTATATAAATGGTGGAGGGATTTTAAAGATTTGATTCGATTTCAGAATGAGACCATCATCGCAAATAGAAGTGAAGTGCTGGTTATGTCCATTGTCATTCAAAACAAGAAGGCAGCTAAAGAAACACCTAGCATCAGCACCACACAAGAGGCTTTCCCTAATCTGTGTTAGGTGCCCAGAAGAAAATTCGTATAGGAGGATGGTTGACCTCAAGGAGCATATTATGGCAAACCATAGGAGTAAGATCGAATTAATGCCTTACAGCTTTTTGTCTGAAAATAATGGGTTTTGGATGGCCAATTACCCTGAGACCTATGCTAAGGTAGTTGCCCCTTCAAATGAAAATTCTCAGGAGGCCATGAAAGCCAGGATAGAGGTGTTGGAGTTTATCCAAAGGGTTGGAAATTCGACAAGAAATAAAGATGAATGGATTCAGGGTTGGAAATGTTCCAAGGAAATAATTAAGGATGCTATAGAGGAAGAGGTGGAAGAACTGGAGCAAACAAGGTCATACTCTCCAACAAGACCGACCATTTACGAAGGTTTAGTGCTCCAGCAGCTGACCCTTGGATTGGGAGATTCAAATGCTGTTTTTAAACTAGATCTGGGTGTTTCCATAAGATTTTACAAAGTATGCTTGAAAGACAATGTACTAAAAGAACCAAAAATGCTGGATTCGCTTATTAGGAGAATGACAGCGCTAGTAAATACAAAGTACTCTGGGGTCCATACCTTTTCAACTGCTATTGAAGGGGAACTAAAACCCGTGTTATTGGCAGTTGTTGCCAGAAAGAAAGTCAGTTAGCGAGGAGTTTGTTGTAATCATAACAACAACGGACGAACTCTTCCCAGGAAAAGCCCAATCTATCATCCCCAAGCCCATTTAACCTTTAAAGACGCCCTCTACTTCAGGTATTATGCTGGAGGATGACAGCGAGGATGAGCAACAAAAGAGCAAAACCACAAAGAAGAAATACAAAAAGACGATGGGTCAGGAGAAAGTAGGTGATAAACGGAAGAAGGGTGAACAGGACCACAGCGCTGTTAAGAAACTAAAGAAGGCTAATGAAACACAAAAGGAAAAGGAAACGGGGAAAGAAGAGGAGAAAAGGAAACAGGATAAAGAAAACAAGAAGAAAGAGGATGAGATCAAGAGACTGAAGGAGGAAGAACAAAGGAGACAGGAAGAGGAAATAAAACTGAAGGAGGAAGAGCAAAGGAGACAAGACAAACAAAAACAGGAGGACGAATTACGACTAAAGGCGGAACAAAAGAAACGAGAGGAAGAACAGAAAAAGCAAGAGGCACAGAAGCAGGAGAAAGAGACACAATTGAAGGATGAAGAGCAAAGGAGACAAGAAGAGCAAAGGAGACAAGACAAACAAAAACAGGAGGACGAATTAAGACTAAAGGCAGAACAAAAGAAACGAGAGGAAGAACAGAAAAAGCAAGAGGCACAGAAGCAGGAGAAAGAGACAAGATTGAAGGATGAAGAGCAAAGGAGACAAGACAAACAAAAACAGAAGGAGGAATTAAGACTACAGGAAGAACAAAAGAAGCAGGAGGAAGAGATAAGATTGAAGGAGGAGGAAGAACTAAAGAGACAGAAGGAGGCAGAAATCAAGAGATTAACAGAGGAAACACACAAGACAGAGGAAAGGAATAAGAAGGACGAATTGCAAAGGAAACAGGATGAAGAAAACAGGTCGAAGGAAGCAGAATTTATGAGACTGCAGGAAGAAGAGAAACTCCAAAGTGAAGAGATTTACACTGCCAGTGAGAGAGCAGACAAACTTTTAAGGAGAGGTGGAATGCCACTTTTCCCAGCGGGAAGGAGGGAATGGGAAAAAGAAGAAATCGTAACCTTAATTAACATACCAGCTGAGGTGAAATGGCCTCCAAAGAACTGGAAAAGCATGTCCCCTGAACAAAGGTATTTAAACTGGGAGTATGCCAGCATTGCGCTTGAACTGAACACCGGGAAACAACTTCAATTTTCAAAGGAGGAGCTTCTGTTAAAATATCACTTTTTGGCACTTCCAGGTACGAAAACCCCACAATCAACAGAGGGCAATACAATGACAGTTATGTCCAGATATTATCTCTACCAAGCAATAGCAAACATCATTAAGAGTAATAAAGACGATTTCACCACCTTACAATTCCTTGATATGGTTGAAGTATCATCATCAAAGAGAGACACATCCACAGACGTTATCTTGAACAAAATTGATGCCATGAGTGTACAACTTAGACTTGGTGAAGACCACTGAAGAGAAAGACAATTTATGAACAATTCTTATAAATAACATATTTATACTGATAGTTTTTTTTATAATTCAGGAGAATAATTTATATTGAAGTTGGGGGAAGTGTAAGGCATTGGAAATACTTCTTATGAAATTATAAATTCAGAAACAGAAATATTATCTTTTAAACTTAACGGTTGTGTTCTTACGCATAGTAACTTGGCTCGCAGCGAGCAAGTGAAACATTTTACATTTGTAATCAAAGATATGGCATTAATTTACTATTTTTATGGATTTCACAGGCCAAAGTTTCACTTTTTGCCAATAAATTACAGAGGGAGGCATTTCATTAGCCAAAACATAGTTTTACAAGTTAGGTGTGTAGATATGTTGGTACAAAGGTGATATATATCCAGTAAAGCAACTGATTTTATGTGAAAGCTCTGGAATTTGAAATGAGTTTATCATTGTTTACATTTTTTTTTGTGTACAAGTGTTACGGCAGGGAATGTATGTAATTACTCATGGGTTACCTTCTTCATGCTATATATCATGTAATTCCCGTATTAAGGATCATTTCTGGTAACCAAATATTCATATTTAAACGTCTGATATGCCTGGTATACATAGGGAAATACTTCAACTGCAATTGTTTACTGACCTGCGATTTTGCCGTCTGCCATTTTGTGGGGAATGAAACGTTGATTTCTATCTCTTTTAATACCAATTCGTCCCCTGGAAAATTGATCTAATATTGTATTTTTAATACCACAGATAAGATATTTTATAAGTATACCCTGCCGGACACAAATATATTGTAAATATTTAGATGGTTGTAATGAACTATGTTATATGTTATTTACTTTGAATGTTCTTACGCAGATCGTCTGCTAAATCAATGCGCGCGCTGTGGTGTCCGATTGTTTATTTCAAGCTTCTTTATCGATATTTTAGATGCTATAGCTTTGTTTTAATATTTTATGTATAAGGACAATCAAGATGATATGTATATTATGTTTTTCATTATCTGAAATTTGTATAGTTCCGGCTACCCGGAAAGGACAAGTAACCATTGGATTAGTATGTCACGTGACACTTTCAATTTAGTATATAAACGCACGAGCACTCAGCAATGGCAGATAGCCCAAAGTTTTGCTGGCGGCATGTTTGAACCTAGAAAACAATAAATTTCCAAATAAAGCAGTAATAACCTTTAGGTGAGAATTAGGATAACATAATGAAGTTTAATTAGCCGTCTTTTGTACAGTAAGCTATCTCCCACCACGTCGGACACCACAAATATGTATTTTAGGATTTATTATTCAGTACACTTGAACGCTATTGTTTATTTATATAAAATTATATAATGTTTTATGATTTTAACAGTTCAGCAAATAAAACTGTTAGCATTGAAAAGATCACTTTATTTTATCAAACTTGGATACATTCAAAAAGTACATGCATTTACACTGATGAAAACAATAGATGCTGGAGGACGTTCGTTCAAACATAAAAACTATGGAAAGCCGTTAGGAACAAAATTAGCTCAGTAACACTCGCATACAAGGGATCGCTCAATACATACATATTAAACATTCCGATGACCATACCTGACAAAGTAACTAAGGAGGTTTAATACAAATGTAGAGGTGCTCCAGGAGTCATATACTGTATTTAAGTGTTAATAAAGTAATCTACCGAGTATAGGACAGGATGCTCTCGGGTGGCTTACATTACTTATAAAACACTTACATCACCTTATGAACTTGTGTATCAAATGTGCGTACATTCCGAACGACTGGAGAAAGAGTATGATAATACTTCTTTATAAAGGTGGTAACAAGCCAAAAACAGATACAAACTCATACAGAGGCATCTCGTTAGTGCCTAGTATCACAAAGGTCTTCGAGAAGATGGTTGACTTGCTACTTACCGTATTGCGTACTGACTTTCCGAATGTCCAACAGGTAGCTTACCAAAAAACTCCTGTCTAGCTTAAATGCTTCATTGAACCTTAATGAAGTAACTATTCATCACATAGAAAAGAACGGAACAGTTATAATTATTTTATTAGACAGCACTAAAGCATTTTACACAGTACCTCCTGATGGATTACGTATTAAACTTTTTGAATATGGTGCGACCGGAAAATTATGGCTACTATTAGATAACATGTACACAGATTTATCAAGTGCTATTCTATCTGGTGGAAAACTTTCGACATGGTTTAAACTGAACCGTGGTGTGCGTCAAGGCAGTGCTTTATCTGCCAAGTTATTATTAACGATTTGATAAATGAACTTGAATCTAGCAACAAAGGAGCATTCTTATATGACATTAATAGTAGTTCTCCTGTTCAGGCTGATGACATTTCGCTTATTGCCACAAATCACGAGTCCGCCCAAGAAATGGTATCAATATGTGAACAATGCAGCATATCATGGAGCTTCTCGTTTTCACCCGCGAAAAGCAAACTTCTTCAATTCGGCAAAAAACTAATAGGACCAGATATATTCCTATACAACGAACCTATTGTACCAGTTAAAAGCGCAACACATGTTGGGATTTCCCTGGACACTTCGATGAAAACCATGGATCATACATTAAAAGCGTGTCGAACCTTAAGAGCAACCACTGCGTCCGTGATTCGCTCCGGTATTCATCCTGCTGTACTCAACCCTATAGTGTGTGCAAAGATTATTCGCCAAGTATGCTACCCGAAAGCTCTTTACGGATGCGAGATCTGGGGCAAGCTGTCTAAAACAGAAACACTTATGTTAGAACGAACGCATCACTATGTATGCAAGTTCATTCAAGGATTGCCTAAACGTACAAGAACTGATATGTGCCTTTCTCTTATTGGTTGGTTAAACCTAGACAGTTTTATTAATGAACGCAAGTTACTGTTCTTCGGACGAATTTGTAATTTACCACAAACAGCAATTTCATTCCGTATTCTCGTACGTAGACTTTTCGAACTTAAGTATTATAATCAACAGAACATCAATTGTGCATCAGATTTTTCAAAGGACTGTGTCACTGTGTATCATCGCCACCGGAAATTGGGTACTAACGAAGCGGAGAGAAATGGAAAAAAAAGTAAACAAGGTAAGAATTCATTCAATTTAAAGCATTTCTACTGATTTGACGAGGGTACCGATTAAGAAATGATTTTCTGATATATAATTCTTTAAATTATTAGGCCGATAAGTACAAAATTAAGACAAGATTTTGTGTTATACTCAAGAACTTGCCACTTAGTACCTGAAAATTTCGAGGTCGATCGTCCTCTGTCGCCCCATTGGCAAGATATTCAACTGTTTTTCATTATTTTTCCAGACACTTTTTTAGATTATTATAGTGTGGCATCATATTAACTGAATTTTGTTGTCAAAATGAACGTTTTTAAAGAATATAGACCATAAAAAATAAAGTCTAGGGTACGGCAACTTGCTCATGTTGACAAATTTACTGTATGGCAACTTGTTTTCAACTGTATGGCAACTTGCTAATTTCAAAATATTTATTTGCCGTCTTTTTAAAGAAAATAAAGTATTAGGTTCAAATATCTAATTATGCATTTGATAAAAATACAATTCGCTTGACACCATTTAAGATGTATACACAATATAAGGCTTGAACACAGTCCTATTACATCTTTTACATACCTGATGTATACAATATGAATACTGCATATACAAAAGCTGGCAAATGTTGTAACTTGCGGAAAGGCATGTCACTGTTTTACTGACCTGGCTAGCGTTAAATGTTACCCATGTCCTTCCGACCCGTCTCTCCCGTCCGTCCAGAAAGTCCCAATAATTGGTTTCCGTTCTCTAACTTTACTATGCCTTAACCAAATGTTATAAAACTTACACGAAATGCTTATCACCACAAAACACAGATCAAGTTATAAATTGGGTAGCGTCATTGTTACCTTTTTTGAGTTATGCCCTTTTATAAATGAAAAAAAAAGCTAAAGCTGTCGTTTCTGTTCTCAAACTTTAGATTCCCTCAACCCAATGTTTTAACCATACAACATTACTCAGCATTTGCATATAGTGTAAGTGATGAACATTTCGGGGATGGGTTGTGGGTGGAGGGAAGGAAGGAGGTAATGGCAGGAGAATTTTTCCGCATTGAATATTTAGAACCATTAAGTGAATGAATTCCCTTTCAACTTTCAGATAAAATGAAATATAAATGAATTATCATTCTCTGCAAAAAAAAATGTTGTATTGCTACACCACGGCACCATGTTAAGGGAGGTTTGAGTGCTCACAAACATGTTAAAGCCTGCCTCAATATATATGTGTCTGTCCCTGGTCAGGAACAAGTAATATAGCGGCTGTCGTAAGTTGCTGCCTGACATATTTGTTTATGATTTTGTCATAAATCAGGCAATTTTGATACGGTATGGGTTTTGTTTATTGTGAAGTGTATAGTAACCAATAGTTGGTCAAATCTATTTCATTTGGACTTTGTTTGAATGTCCTCTCAGTGAAAACCATTCCACGTCTCCTTTTTCAATTAATGTTATTGTCTTATTTGTAAAAGGCAGATACAGCTAATATATTAGAATAAAGAACATTAATTTTCTAAAAAAAAACTTCATCTCTATATAGTAAGAAATGAACAAGCTCGGTGGCTAACACTGTTTAAATTTAAAAAAAATATTAACCTTAGATTAATCATTTTTGGAAAGAATGAAAGATGAATCCGATACAAGGGATACAAATCCGGCTGTGGCTACGACATAAACTATTTATATAAACTTCCTACTTGAGAATAAAGATGACCTTGTATGAAGTCTTTTTTTTGGTTGTCATCTTAATATTATATACCTATTAATACAATTCACAAAAGCTAGCATCTTCGACTTGTAAGTTTAAAGAATTATAATGAAATAACATCTAATAAGGACAGGTTGAAATATTTTTGAATCCTGATGGTGCATACTCATAAATTCTTTTGGAAAAATCCACGTAAATTTTAATGTTGATTTGATAGCGTTCATTTATTTA